ACAAGCGAGATGATACCTCCCGCCTACCAGCCATTTGGAAACCCGCCCTTATTGACAAACGACTCCCTAACACAAAAAATGATACCAGACCCACACTCACAAAAACCACACAGGATGTCACCACCACACATCCACGCAAAAAACAAACCCAAAGCCACACCGATGACGAGGCACGACCACAAACCAGAAGCCAGACCACAGCTGCATCATTAGCCACTTTAAACCCCTCCAATCCATACATGAAGCAAACTGACACCCTCCATGAAGAGGAGACACGACCACGAACGCGAAGCCAGAAAATAGCAAGGCAGCCCAAAATCTTAAACCCCTCTGCAACTCAGACTAACCTGAGCACAACCAAACAGAACACTCCCCCAGCCAATCAGAGCACAGCCAAGCCCCTAACCATTCAGAACACACCTCCACCCAATCAGAACACAGCCAAGCTCCCACCCAATCAGTTCATACCCCCACTGGCAGTTAAAAGGAATAAACAGCTAAGACCACACATTGCTGCTCAAAGCACGAAGCTGAAAACACCAGCCTGAAGATGACGAATGGGACTTCGTCGAAACGTCGCCAAGACACTTCCAATTTTACGTGGGAGAAAACCCGAACAACCAAAGACCTACATATATATATATATATTGATTCATGCAGCCAATGAAAACCCTCCTGAATTCCATATATATATATATATATATATATATATATATATATATATATATATGTAGGTCTTTGTAAAATTGGAAGTGTCTTGGTGACGTTTCGACGAAGTTCCATTTGTCATCTTCAGGCTGGTGTTTTCAGCTTTGTGCTTCGAGGAGCAAAACGCTTAGCTGATGAACAACACCTAAAAACCGAACTATACACTCTCACCAATGTACTAACATCCAATGGATTTCAAAGAAATAAAATTACAAACCTAATCGAAAAAGAAACCCCCACTAAAATCCAAGACAGAGAACAAGAAAACGGCAAAGCCCTCCTCCCATACATAAAAGGCACCACAGACAGAATTAGTAAGATCCTCCATAAACACAACATCAAAACAGCATTCTGCGCAAACAGAAAAATATCCACCATCCTTAGAAACCCCAAAGATAAAATTGAGTTAGAAAATCAAGGAGTATATGAAATCCCATGCACTGCTTGTCCCAACACATACATCAGACAAACCAACAGAAGAATAAGTGCACGCATTGAAGAACATAAGAACTCAGTCAAAAAAGAGGAACCAACATCTTCCCTGGTCCAACACCTTAAAGCCACAGGACATGAAATTGACTTTAAAAATACCAGAACCATTGCCAAAAGTGAACATTTTAATAACAGAATAATCAGAGAAGCCATCGAGATAGAAAAACGCCCACACAGCATGAACAAACAAGATGATACCTCCCGCCTACCAGCCATTTGGAAACCCGCCCTTATTGACAAACGACTCCCTAACACAAAAAATGATACCAGACCCACACTCACAAAAACCACACAGGATGTCACCACCACACATCCACGCAAAAAACAAACCCAAAGCCACACCGATGATGAGGCACGACCACAAACCAGAAGCCAGACCACAGCTGCATCATTAGCCACTTTAAACCCCTCCAATCCATACATGAAGCAAACTGACACCCTCCATGAAGAGGAGGCACGACCACGAACGCGAAGCCAAAAAATAGCAAGGCAGCCCAAAATCTTAAACCCCTCTGCAACTCAGACTAACCTGAGCACAACCAAACAGAACACTCCCCCAGCCAATCAGAGCACAACCAACCCCCCAGCCAATCAGAGCACAGCCAACCCCCCAGCCAATCAGAGCACAGCCAAGCCCCTAACCAATCAGAACACACCTCCACCCAATCAGAACACAGCCAAGCTCCCACCCAATCAGTTCATACCCCCACTGGCAGTTAAAAGGAAGAAACAGCTAAGACCACACATTGCTGCTCGAAGCACGAAGCTGAAACACCAGCCTGAAGATGACGAATGGGACTTCGTCGAAACGTCGCCAAGACACTTCCAATTTTACGCGGGAGAAAACCCGAACAACCAAAGACCTATATATATATATATATATATATATATATATATATATATATATATATATAAACAAGAGGCTCTCCAGTAAAGCCCAACTCCTGGTGTCTGGATTCATGCAATTTTCTTGGAAGTGTGACAGAAGCAGTTTAGCACTGCTTTCTTCTAGACATTTTTTAAATTATTATTTCATAGTTCAGCCTATAGTCCTGGTTACGAAGGGAGTATCCCCTTCAAATAATGTCAGGAACAACCCTGCAATAATTTCAGCTCTACCTTTGGCCAATTAATTAATCATAGTAAATCATCAACTGCCATTTTGTTTGTACTAAACACACCAAATATATGTTCCATTTATTACACCATCTTAAATATATATTTCCACTGAGTATAAATGTATATAATTTAGACTGCATTCATTACTATCTCATCAGATAATCCCAAATGTATATTTTGCCAGATATTTGTTTTAGTGTAATTATAGAGAGAGATAAGTACTAATAATTAGCCCAGAAATACAGTCCAGACTAAATTCAAGACATTGACAAGATCAAGGGAAATAGATAGAACCAAGACAAAATAGCTGGGCTGTGCAATATTTTGAATGAATAAGTGGAATATTTGGCCTCTGGCCAAGATTACCCAAGTCCTTGCCAAAGATCCAGAAAAGAGCACAAGCTCAGCAGATAAGAAAGAATATGATTTATTCATTTGCAATAATAATACTAATACTAATACTAATACTAATGCTACTAATAATAATAATAATAGTGGGATCATAAAATAGAGAAAGTCATAGAAAATGATAAAATTAAACTGCTCTGGGATTTCAGAATTCAAACAGACAAGCACCTGCAAAGTAACACCCCAGACTTAACAATTGTTGATAAGAAAGACAAAAAAGTCTGGATAGTGGACGTGGCAGTGCCTGGAGACAGCAGAATAGACAAGAAAGAACTGGAGAAGATAACAAAATACAAAGACCTACAAATAGAAATAGAAAGACTTTGAGCTTGTTTGGAGTTCTAGCAGGGAAACGCAGCTATCGTATACCCTTGACCGAAGATCGGTACACTCCTTCTATCTGGGATGGTTGTCCTCTTCCACTGAGCGTGCAGCTTCGGGAGGGATGTACATGGAGCTGTGAGGTAGGAAGGGGACACCCGCCTAGCCAGCCAGATCAGCCGAATCAACCCTGGCGATCAATGGGGTGACAGATGTTGCAGCCAGATCGCCCTCACATCCTAAAATAATATTTGGATGTGTCTGGAGGTCTTCGAAGCTTGACTACCCTACGTTCTCCTACAAATGGACCTTGAGCTTGTTTGGAGGTTCTAGCAGGGGAGTGCAGCTATCGTATACCCTTGACCGAAGATCGGTACACTCCTTCTATCTGGGATGGTCGTCCTCTTCCACCAAGCGCGCAGCTTCGGGAGGGACGCACATGGAGCGGTGAGGAAGGAAGGGAACACCTGCCTAGCCAGCCAGATCAGCCAAATCAACCCTGGCAATCAATGGGGTGACAGATGTTGTAGCCAGATCGCCCTCACATCCTTGTTTGGAGGTTCTAGCAGGGGAGCGCAGCTATCGTATACCCTTGATCGAAGATCGGTACACTCCTTCTATCTGGGATGGTCGTCCTCTTCCACCGAGCGCACAGCTTCGGGAGGGATGCACATGGAGCGGTGAGGGAGGAAGGGGATTCCCGCCTAGCCAGCCAGATCAGCCGAATCAACCCTGGCAATCAATGGGGTGACAGATGTCGCAGCCAGATCGCCTTCACATCCAGACTACTATGAAATCTGGGGAACTTTTTATGATTGGCTGAAAATAGAATACGGTTAAAAGATAGTTAGCATTAATTTAGATGGAAGAAGAAGGAGCAGATAAGGAGGGAGACCCAGGAGACACAGTATTGAATAACTGGAGGTTGTATAAATGTTTATAGAAGTATATACCTAGAAGGTTAGATAAATAGAAGTATTAATCTTATTGTATATAATACAGATAGGGAAATTTGGAGAGAGGAGTTGCTCAGACATTACCCCTGAATTGTATCTGAAGAGGGATGAGAGGGAAGAAAGGAGAGGAGAGAGAAAAGAGTAAAGGAGGGGAGAAGGAAGTAGGAAGATTGGAGGAGAAGAGGAGAAGTGGGGAAGGGGAGGAGAGTGGTGAAGGAGAGGGAAGTAGGGAAGAGAAGTAAGGGAGAAAGAAGGTTAGAGAAGAAGGAGTGTGGATACGGTGAAAGGGGAAATGGGCGAGCAACACCAAAAGTCATGTGTATGTATTTATTTCATTTTATTAAAGGTATCTTATATATGAATGTAAAAAGAATGTATGTTAACATCTCATAAATATTACGGTATATTTATGGGGGAGAGTTTGGAAAAATAAAAAGTTATTAAAAAAAAAGAAACAGAAAGACTGTAGCAAAAGCAAGCAAGGGTAGTACCAATAGTCATAGGATCCTTGGATGCAATCCCAAAACAACTGGAGCACCACTTGAACACTATTGGCATTGACAAATTCGCTATTAGTCAATTGCAAAAGGCGGCCTTACTAGGAACTGCTTTCATCCTGCGACGATATCTGTAATACCATCAAACATCCACATCGTCGAGTCCCCTAATCATCTTTGTTGCTCTTCTCTGTACTCTTTCTAGAGTCTCAACATCTTTTTTACATCATGGTGACCAAAATTGGATGCAGTATTCCAGGTGTGGCCTTACCAAGGCATTGTAAAGATTCCAAAGAGAGGCTGATCTCTCTTGCTACATAATCTTCCTACTAATAGTTAATCAATCATTACCACATTTTGATACTTTATCTGGGTATACATAGAAATCTTGGTATCAAAACAAAGGTGGAGTTATGAGGACATAAAAAGCCCTCCAAAGATAAATATTACGTAAAAAAAATTGAACAAACAGGCTAGTATAAAAATTATTTTCAGCAATTTTTTTTGCCTAGACTCTGCATAGTTAATTTCTTGTGGAGCATTAAAGATTCCTGACAGAGGAAAGCAAGCTGCCATGGAACAGAAGAAGTTCTGGTTATTGGCAATGGTCCTTGTCTTAGGATTCAGCAGCCTGGCTAATGGGTTTTTCCTGAAATTACGTGAGTGGAACTTTTAAAAAATGTTTACTGGGAATTATTGATTCACTTTATATAAAAGCTGCCTATTCTACACTTTCTGCAGCAGCCTTTTGTCATCAATATTAATTTTGTCAGCATTTGATAACATGTGAAGGGGAGGCAGAATCTTCCTGGCATTCCTAGTACATATTCTTTATTACAATATTTTTACAGATGTTCATCCTCGGATGGCCAAACTTCTTGACTGATTTATATTGCTTTGAGTCTGAGGGAAGGGGTTGCATTTGCTCCCCTGTCTAAAGCATCAACATATCTAAAGACAATTCTAGACTTGATTAATATCTGTTTTTAAGAGTATTTAGCATTCAAATTTGAGTGGAGAATTTTTTGTTTTACAAATCAAATACTCTAATGGTTTTACCTTTCCTCAAATACGTTATTATACTAGATTAATTTAGACTGTATTTAACAGTTCCAGGACAATGCCAAGTGCAACCGAATGCCAGAGTGAACTGTGGATACCCCTACATCAGTGCTCAGGAATGCTACAATAGAGGATGCTGTTTTGATTCAAGTATTGCTGGAGTCATCTGGTGTTTCTTTCCAAAAGATAATACAGGTATTGATTCAGTGACTGAAGCTATTGGTTAAGGAAAACTCTTTGCAAAGTGATTCTCATTACCATATAAATGCAACTAGTCTAAATTACCAGCACTAAATATCTACTATCTGGAATGGGACAACTTGCTTTGGCCAATTTGCCACGGCCAACTTATTGCGACTAACTCACCAAGGGACAATTTCCCATGGGACAATTTAACAATTCAATTTAATTATTTAAAATATTTTAAATATTATTTTAATTTTTCTCATTCACATTTCATTTTTGTCCCTCCTTTTGCATTCTTTCTTTAATGACTCCATTCCACCATTTCTTTGATATTAGGGTAGCTCTTGTCCCATGGCTTGGTCTTGTCTATGGTGACTTGCCATAGACCTCTATTAACTCCCCTCAAAGGCAAAAACCCATAATTAGAAAACATTATAATCTGATAGCAAGAAAAGTAACAGTAGTAAATGACACGGAATCAACCCATGATTTAATGGACTGTTGGGGAAAACGAGTGTCTGTTAAAGCCAAATGTCCATTCAATCTGAATTTGCCTACTTAATTTTCATCTAAATACACATTTAGATTGGCAAAGTTATGAAGTGATATAAATTGACACGAATGGTGTTGAGGCAATATGTAGATATGTATATACCTAATTTATAGGTTGTTCATTTTCACAGAGGACTAAAATAGTTTACAGCCAGAGAATTGGAGCAAAAACAAAAGCAATTCACCCATCTAATCTGGTTTATCCAACCTAACACAGCTACTATACTATTAGTACTATATGTTCTATGGAATAAGAAACTGAGGCTTTGCTCTTATATCAAAATGATAAAATCAGTTATCTCTACTGATCTGCTCAAATCTCCGGAGAAGGGCAATTCTACCTGATAATTTACTTAGTGAGAGATTAATTAACCAGAAAAATAAATTGAACATTTTAATAGGGATCATTTGTACATTCTGAAAAATTCTATAAATCCAGCTCTTACAGCAGCAAACACTAAACCATTTAACACAATAAACCATTTAATATAACAGCAAATCCTGCTTTTAATAAAACCAAATGTTGCTGCAAGCAGAATCCATATTATTTTGCAAACCACTGTCAGCATCTATTGATCTTCAGGGATCAAGCTAATAAGTATATGCTTAGATGAACTTGAACATGGTAAGCTATTCATCACAAGCATTTAACAACCACAGCCTAAAGAAAATACTTCCCCGTTCTGGATTTTAGTGTACGCTTGCAGGGTGTGTGCACACCACAACACACACGGACAGGTACATGTGAATGCAATCCTTGAGCATTCATTGAAAAAGGAAACGGGAGACATACAGCTATTTCTATCTTTTAATGAAAGTTTAGTTTAGAGACTTAATTCTGACCAAACCTCTAATGATTTGACAACCACATCTAAGTAGGAGAAAATTAAGCCAAACCAAATAATCTTTTAACCAACCAACAAAAGACAAAAATGCTGAAACTGATCGAAACAGATGGATTAGCAGTTTCATGAGTATTTGTCACTCATGTCATGCAGTCTAGATGGAGTTTGTACATCTCTCTCTCTCTCTCTGTTTTAACCTGCTATTCTGCATCACTTCTGTCTTTTTTTGTCTGACTCATGTCTGAACTAGCTTTATTTATTTTTATTTATCATATTTAGGAACAACCCATCTCCCTTACAGAGTAGCTTACAGTACTAATGTCCTTCAACACTTCAATGCAAACAACATCAGAATAATTTGCAAACTGGTGACCTAATACTAATTATCTGGAAATATAAATACTTCTCCATCCTTTAACCAATTCTAATTCTCAGGAAGAAACATCATTCTGTAATCTAGAGAAAACATATAGAATGGCTGAAATTAATTATTAATTAAGCTAAAATTAAGAGAGCAAATCCTATGATCTACAAGTTGCAGAGTCCCAAGATTCACTTTTGTTGCCCATAAAGCTTCCTACCTCTGGAATTTGGCACTAAAGACTTATTTGCAGTACATTTTGTTTGTTTTCAAATAAACCCCAAAATACGCATGTGAACCATAAAGGCATCCCACACACTTTATAGAAAGAGCTACAGATTTCAGCTTTATCGCTCTATAGCAACACCAATAACAAGATGCAGCAGCAGAGGAAGCAACAAAACACATCTGCCAACTCATTTACTTTGGACATAGATATCATCATACAGTGTGCAGAAAAGGATGAAGAAATAAGGAACCAAAGAAATTGCAGACAGGAGAAATTTTAAAAAGGAGGGGAAAAGGATAGCAAAACTAATTTACACCAACCCCATCTACTATACAAACCATCTTTGAACCACTTTAAACATTGACTATTGTTTTTTAAACTTTCACCTTTTTCAGAATTTCAGCTCCATTTAATCATGATTCTCTTGGGCTCCCCCTGCATTTCAACCTATTCCTTGTTCTTTTAAACATCTGTGTGACAATTTACTTTTCTTTATATGATCAAACTATCTCAAAGAATTTATTTTGTAATGATCACTCAGTTCTGTATTAGTTTATCTTCACTCAGTACCTATTTATTCTTGACCCTATTTCTTTTTGTTTTGCCACATGCAATGCACATTAAAAAGATGCTTTTCACTCCCTTTGAGAGTGCCCCTCGTTTGCCCAGATTTTATACATAGCTATTTGTCCTTGTTTTGATAAACATTCATTCTTTGTAATGAATGTTTCCACCATGATTTGCATATTATTATTATTTCTCTTACTGTTTTCCCATCTTTAATACTAGTTTAGTAAATATTCTACTTCATCATTAAACTCCCTGGATGGGAAGTCTAGAAACATGAAATACAAAGAAACAAATAGTAACCTACTTTTCCCATTTCAGGTATTTCATTGAAGTTAATATTTGGCACTATAATTTGAGGACAGTACTAATTGTTTTTAATTGTATTTTGTTTCCAGAATGCTCCACCTAAAGTAAATGGGATCTCAGAACCTGTCGCCTTTTTCTAGAGTTCCTGAGGAATTAAAATAAAGCTACATTTCAATCTGTAGACATACATATGCTCTCTTCTGTTAAAATAAATATTGCCTATGAGATCATGTCAACCTTATCTTAAAAATTAAATAGAATACTTAAACACAAGTGTAGCTTTTTCTAGTCTATTGTTCTGCAAATAAAAGCCTTGAGAACTTTCCTAGCTTTTAAATCTATGTCATTTTTCATATTTGTACTGTTTTGTTCTACATGTTTTTGTTCTACAAATCCTCCCCCCATAGTATATTGATGTATATTGATACTTCAAATCAGAGTCCATCGTGAACACAGCAGTGTTGTATTAATTGCAAATACTATAAGTTAATTATATTTTTTCCTCAAGCCTAGTGCATTATTTGGTGGGGATTATCCTCAATTGGCCCAGACTCTGAGCTTTGGCAGAGGAGCATGTTAGAGAAGCTATAGGAAGACTCTCCTTTTCCAGAAATACTCAAAGGAATCCATTAGCGTGGCAGCAATCATATCAAGAAGGCTTGGCAACGTTTAGTTGTATGGATTGCAATTCCCATAATTCCCAGCCAGTAGATTTGGGGAAATGAAATGCACACATCTGCAGTTTTGTCTAGTTTGAGAATACTATGAATAAGACTAATGAAATTGACATGAGCTATTACTTTCTCTATGAAATCCTAGGAATTATAGTTTTATGAAAAGGTAGGAATTGCTAAGAATAGTCAATAACTTCAAAAAATTGGCACAGTGTGATGTTATTAAGAAAAAGAGCCTACAGTATTAGTAGCCACTAGAACTTTCTCACCAAAGTTATTATTCCAGTTCATCCCTGGTTGGGTTCCAAACCCAGACAGAGTTGTTCACATGCTACCCAGAACATATATACACACTCGTGAATAAGCGGAGAATTTTAGGTGTCAAAATACATTCCAAAAATTGGGTTTGACTTATCTGGAGATAGGCCTATCTGTGAGCATATACTATAAGACTTAATCCTCATACATTTTATATGTAATTGTCTAGAAACCCATCCATAGATAAGCAGACCCTGGAATTTTTAACCAAAATACCATGAAAAATAGATAATCACGAATAAACCATGTATGAAAATTAAGAATCTGGGGGATTGGTTTATTTGTGGGTGGAACATATTTCTCTATTCCATGTTCCTAATGTGTTAAGGTGTAGTAGTGGCCAGATAAAGGGAATGTTGATAAAGAGAAATAGTCATGGAGAGTAAAACATCAGGCATCTCAATTCTCTTTGCTCTGAACTCCATCTTCACTTTAGCTACAATATTTTCATTTAAACAGCTTCCCTGGAAGTTTCTCTGGAAGTAAACACAGTGTAATGTAAATAAAAATGTATACATTTTTATGTATTTTATTATTTAAAAATATTTTTTTTAAAAAATAAAAAGTCTACAGTTTTAATCTCTTTTCTCCCCTGAAAATATCAAAACATGGGAGCAGAATACTCTATAGAGAAATGTTATGAGGAAAATTTAATCAAGACTTCATTTCATTGTTTACTGAAGAATGCAGCACCCTCTAGTGCACAATCTTTGGCTATATTCTGAAAAACAGCATAAAGAGAAAACTGCTTTTTGCCTACTGGCCAACTTACATTTATTGGATCATGTAATTGTGATCCTGCTTCCTGTTTAGAACCAGTAGTGGGATTCAGCTAGTTCGCACCAGTTTGGTAGAATCATTAGCTAATTTTTTTGCTGCCCAAGCCCAGAATGGACTTCCAGAAGTGGCATCCACGCAGGGAACTGGTTGTTCACATATCTGAATCCCACCACTGTTTAGAACTCATAATTTGTTTTCATTGGCTTATGCCTCATGAATTCTAAAAAGAGCAAAAAAGGAAGAACAATAAGAGGCAAAAACGGGAAGCACAGAGAGAAAGACAAAGAAGAGGTAAAAGAAATTTTTAAAAGGGATCCTTATGTAATACTGGGATAAGGAAAGCTTCAAAAACTGAAAACTGAAGGCTCACTGAAACAGGACAAAGACAGCAGTTTGAAAATATCAATGCTTTTATTTGATTATTCCTATGTTGCATTATCACAAGGATTCTCCATTTTCAGAAAATGAGCTCTAACCTGGAAAATAATGCACATACAAATATTCTACAGGAAATCAACTATACAGAAATATACAAAGCATTTTGTTAGTTTATGCAAAATACAGAATTAGAATGCCCAACATCCTAAATCTTCTAATACATGAATCAAAGTACTCATAGTTCAGTTAGTTATTATCATCAGAACTATAAAAGATAAACAAGCCACCTGGAAAAAAGACAATGTTTACATGTATCTACAACAGTGCAAATGTATCACAGCGTGCAAGCAGCAGCAGTCTCTAGAACAGCAAAATCAACAGGAATCCAAAGTAATGCAGTGTGCATTACACAATCAAGACAGAAGAACAGTTATTATACAGTAAATGCACTCTTTAGTACGCTGAGGTTTTGAAATTACTTGCATTGACTTTTGCTTTTCTCAAAAAAAAAAAAAGAAACGAAAGGAAAGGAAAACCACACATACACATAAATGTCTTAAATAAGTAGGTTTTTAGGGTAGCAACTCACCACAACTAAGAATCTACATTGCACAGAAGGTATAATTTGAAAACAAAGGGTGTCAAAAATACTGTCACGTTGATACATACGGCTGATAATTCCTCTCTCACCATTAAAGATGCCCCAGATAATAATAATAATAATCCATTCTTTGTTTTAAAACTACAAATAAGAATTTTTGCTGGGCTGTTTTTGGAGTAGGGGTTTAGCAAAATTTCAGCAATTCTTAGGCATGGAGCTCAGTAGAATATACTTCCTAAAAGAAAAGCAGGATATGAATAGCGTGAAACTTATAACATGCACATTAACTGAAAAGTTTTGTGATCTCTATATATTATTGTTCTAATATTTCTGAAAATAGCAAGTTTCACGTAAAAATACAATAAACCAAATGGCTATATTTGCATGACATGCTTAAGCTTGTTTATTGGAATCATAGTTTACCCCATTGGTCCAATTTTCTGGATTTGTATAACACAGTGAATCATAAACTAGCTGCACAGGCTGGAGTTTCATGATGCATTGAGCTAAATTGTGATTAACTGCTTTGTAGTTTAGTGTGTTGTATAAACTCAACCAGGGTATTCCCTACATATTTAGTTGGGTTTCCAAGCCAAGCTCAGATACATGCAAATATATCTGCAATCAATACGTTTTATTGAGGTGGGCGAGGGACAAGATTCCTGCTTGTCTGTAGCAAAACCATGAGTACCTTTTGTCTTCAGATTAAAACATAAAAGCCAGTAATACAGAGCAATCCTGAATCCCTCCCTCCTGCAATGCACTCCCAAAATGTGTGAAACAGACACGCCCACTACTCCAACTGACAAGAAGGGAGGTCCTGAACAAACCTTAGGTGTAATATCTGTATGTGACTAGGTATTTTCAGGGATGGGAACAAGAAAAGAACATTTTGCTTGTTTTTTATATTACATTTGCCATATGTGAAATCATTTTTGTTTAGTAATTTCACACAGTAATGACTTCTAGTTTCCATTGCTGAAAATAATTCAAGCAGATTTACAACTTGTAACAGAATTTTATTCAAATGTGGAAATATGCCAATTATAGTTTTGGCTTAAGAATGGGACTGCAATATCTAGGACAGCAATATTTTTAAACTTGATATTCCAGACAATCCTGGCATGTTAACAAATTCTCTGGTAATGTCTTAGAAACAACACAATCAAGTTAAAGTGGTCAAGTTTAAGTAATCTACAAACTAACATCAACAGAACTTAAAGAGACTTAATGTGGATTGTGTTCTTTCTTTTTCAAAAGAATTAGGAATTTATTAGTGACTTGATCCAATATAGTATCAGAATATGGAAATGATTCCGTGTTATCCAAAATGGATACATCACACTGGAATTGAAAAGAATTATTAAGGATGTCATATATAGTCCCAACATAAGCCACTTTTCTTTCACCTGCTTTGTAACAGTTGTGATGGGAGAAAGGTGTTTCTAACAATAAGATGGCCAACTCAAAGGCTTATAACCATTACAAATTAATTACAGGGTTTTAGATTACTCACTTATTCAAAAGATCCACCACTTGGCCTCCGCCCCCCTTTTCTTAATCTATTGGCCTTCAGAGAATACACTGAAAAATTATCAAGCCCCATATCCTTGTGGCCCATGTTTCCTGTAACAAAATAATGTTATATTTAGAGATATAATCTATAAATGATTTATCCCTACATTTGCAGTACTGCAGTACTTGCAGTATTGCATGAAAGGATGTTCAGTTCCTGTGAATGCCTTGTCAATTAGCAGATAGCACCTGAGGACTTTCTAGGAAAGCACTTCTTGTGTGACTCTTCCAAATCTGGTGGTAGTCCATCACAATCCATTGACTGGTTTTGAGGCAATTATCCTCCAAAGGGTATAAGAAAAGTTTTCTTGTTGAAGGTATGTAATCACATTCTTGGAGATTGTCTGTGCTAATCACAAATGTTGTTACATATCTGCTGCTGATTTACAAAGTACATTCTTAATGGTTTCTGGATACAGACTTACAAGTACCTAATTAGTGGTGCAGATTTGAATCCCATGATAGGTATGGATAAAATTGCATGCTAATTTAAAGAACAGTGTCTGTTTTTATTTTTTACTCTAAAATTAAGACTAGGATTATGGGGAAAGAAGGACGTTGGCTTTGCCAATGAATGCAGTCCCAATTACTCTATTGTTTTTCAGCAATATAAACTATGCACTTCAGGAACATGTACTAGTTTACAAGAATTGTGGAAGGGGAAAATCTTATAATATGGATAAAACTAATTTATCTTCAAATGTATAGCCTTGTTTTTGTTTCAATTTCAATTTATTTTGCTTTGATGCTCTAGCTTAACTCTACAGATCTGGCTTGAGTGATTTAGTATCCATTCAAAATAGCCTCTGTTGGAAACAGCAATTTGATCTGGTTTCTGAATAGACAACTTGAAATCTGTTTTGGATTGAAAACAGCTTAATTGGTTTTCCTAATAAACCAACCTGAATCCATTGCACTGAGGTAGATAAGACTGGCCCGGAGTGCTAGTCTTTTTTCCTATAATGTTAATTTTATCAAATAATGTTCTGAGACAAAGTGCTATATGTACAGCTAGTATTTGAAATCAGGATGTAGGCACTTCTAATAATCAGCATCAGTTTACACATCTTACTTCTCAAATTAGATGTCAAACTAGTAACAAAAACTGTTTAGATAAATTTGGTTGGAATCTAGCAAAAAGTGAGTGAGGGAAAAATAAACTGCCTATGAATGGGTTTGAAATCACCTAGCTTTGCTGGAATGTGACGGTAGCATGGTTTGAATTTCTTTTTGAGACATTCAAAATTGGTGAAAACAAAAATAATAGGCTTATGTATATTGCTAGGTAGGGGCACATACATATTTGACTATGACATTTTTAATTAAGTCCTTAAGCATTCATCATACCAAACACCAAACTACTGGTAGTCCTTTCTCTTTTTAGAATATGTGCTATTAAAAACATGCTGCAGTATTCAAACAGGCTTTGAGATTAGTTTCTAATTTGCTCTCTTTCGGGTTTTGCATTCACAGAAAATAGATAAAACAGAGAGAAAATGAGACTGAAAAGACACTACAAAAACAGAATGCTAGGAGAAAGGAGCTGGGTATTCATCTTGATTTTAAAATTCTTCTACATCATTCACTGTAATATAATGTAATATTAAAAATTTGGTTTATGAGACCAGCTCATATAATTAAAACTCCAAAGCTGGGTATTAAGGAGAACCAATATCAGATTTCTCACCTACTTTATTTTTAAGCATTCGGTTTTCATACAACTGGAAAAATGTATAGACTACTGCAGAATTTCTTGTGGGAAAACACTTGTAAGATGCAGCAAGAAGTGATGATAGAACATTTTCTGTTTTTTCACTTATAATAAAAGATAGACATTCTCAGTCTAGTTGCCAGAACTACAGCTACCTTAGAAGAAATATACTTTCCAGGAGAGGAAACTCTTGGGATCAGCAGTGACATTTTTCAAAACTGAAACAAGTTTCCATTTTAGTTCTTCTAGGGATCAGACGACAACATGATTTGCAACTGAGCTTTGAAAACTCATTGGCCGCAACCAAAGAGCCACATTCTAGACATGCATGTTGTCACATTTGTCCTCTATCTCTCTGCTCGAATTTTGTATCTGAGAACAAAATAGGCAATGAGACGTAAGGAGATGAAGAAAATTCCAAGCACAATGAAGTCCAAATAAAGTTTAGCATTTTCTACATCCAGCTCTTTGAGGATAGCCTTTGACTTCTGAAAATGACAAGTGTCATCTTTGTCACAATGAAGATCTTCTCGATCCAAACCATAGATGGAAAGAATGACACCTTCAAATCCATACCTATGGGGAGGAATCATTTGCAAGGTCAAACTTAAAGCAAGCCCAGATCTGTACCATACTGGCAAAGAAATGCCAGAAATACTGTATATAGCAACAAAATTATTATTTGATTAATATTTTATATTTTGGTTCTGCTGATCACTCAAGGGGATTAATAAGAAATGAAATAAAGACTACAGATATTTAAAACATACATTTGAATTAATGCAAAAAATGTTTTTTTTTTTTTAAAAAAAAACCCCTCTCCAGCTAAAAATAAAGGTGTTGTCTCTCAAGAGAGATTTTTTTTTTACCCCTCATAGTCAGGAGAGTTGTATTGGATTATTAGGCTGAAAACAAGTAACTTGAACCAAAGCAGTTCAGAGGGTTTGTGCTAAGCCAAGTTTTGAACTTGGGCTGTACAACTCAAGTCCAATTTCAGATATCCAGCAGATCAAACTGGCTTATTCATATCTGGACTCCAGAAACTGAAATTATATATAGCTTTCCTACATGTTCATCTTTTATTTTTAGAAGCGCATGAATGCATGTTTGCATAGCACATATATAGACAAATACACATACCAAGAATACTTAAAGATGAAAAAAGCTAGCTCTATGAAAATAAAATTCCAAAGAATGGTCTAAAATAGAGGTCCCCAAACCCCGGTCCATGGACTGGTACCGGTCCGTGGCATGCCAGCAATTGGTCCGCACAAATAAGTAAAGCCCCATCCATAAAATGCAGGCAGCACACAAAACCATGCAATCACTGGTCCATGGAAAAACCTTTCTCCACAAAACCAGTCCCTGGTGCCCAAAAAGTTGGGGACCTCTGATCTAAAAAGATATAGCCTTTGCAGAGTTAGCTTGAAAAAAACAAGAAGCACCCTTCAAATGTATAGTACCTGACGTAAGACATGTAGGACATCCATTGGAGATAAGCAGGAATGGTATCAAAACTGACAAAGAAGCCTGAGAAGAGAAGAACTGGGATTGCTGTAACAGGACCAACAAATGTTGCCACCTTTAAAAAAACCAAACAAATAAATATTTTTAAAATTAACAAATCAAACTTTGGATCAAACCTTTATGAGAATCATATTGGCTAAAAAACTGTTTCAGTGACATACGGCACGGACTGCAAAAACATAACGAGTACAGTTCAATTCCAGCTACCAGTACATAATTCCCCAAGCTTTGGCTATGCTGGCTGGGAAGAATGGAATTGGAAATCCCAAGCCCCCTGGAGGACATCAGGTTGAGCCAGGCTCACCAAAGACAGAGATACAGAAGATCACATAAAGCAGAAGAGACCTGAAGTGAGGTGGATGCTGCTCCAATCAGAAGTCCCAGGGACTGAGCCACAAGTGATGTCATGGTCCCCAGTGCTGCAAACAGGAGAAATCGCAGAGCATCAGAGGGCTGCGCTGTCATCCAGTACACAATGCTGCAGTAAGCCACAGGAAACATAATCTGTAGTAGACAAATAACAGAATATGGTGCTCTGTTAAGTCAAAAGTAAAGGAAGGAAATATATCCCTATTTAACATCAAGAAAATAAAGTGAAAGAGAGAGAAAGATGGGTGTCCCATCTCTTTGTCTTTATGAGCTGAATGAAATTTTTAGTTCCTGTATCTATCACTGCACATGAGAAGCCAGACACTATAATACTTTTCCTACTTCTTATCAGATGAGTCATGTCCTATCAGGATTTTTCCGAAGTAGAACACTAGTTTATGAAATGGTTGGCATGTACATATAGATGAGGACCACTGGAGCAGCTTCAGAAGCAGACACCAGCCGTGTGAAAAATACAGCTACTTTGATAATTTGAAGAGTTTTCTTTGCCCAGGCACATAGAATGAAACATATTACATTAAGTGCTCTGCACATGCCTAAAGTTTTATTTATTATTTATTTATTTAATTTAGATGTAGCTCATCTTCCTGATAAGGCAACTCTGGGCAGCTTACAGATTTAACCTAACTGCAACTCAAATATAGCTGGTTTATCTTTTTCTCAAAATTTGACAGTTACTGGAAACTGATTCATGAGACCATCTGTGATTTAAATTTCATTTCTTGGCATAATTGTAAAATGCCATTTGGCTATCCCATTTTCCAGTGTATAATAAAAAGAAAACATTTACAACTGGTTGTATAACATATAGCAGTGCTGGCAAACCTATGGCATACGTGCCAGAGAGGGCACTCAGAGCCCTCTCTGTGGGCATGCGCACTCCTCCAGCCCCACTCCCCCCCGCAGCCCTCTCCTCACCAGCAGCCCCCCCAGAGGAGAGTCACCCCTGGGCACGGCTGGCACAGAGCAGTGCAGCCAAGGACATGGCAGCCAGGCAGTGGGGACAAGACTCCACTCTCACGTCCCATCATACACAGATGATGCTGCAGGGCATGGGCAGAGGGTGTGGCCACCATGGCACTGCTGGCCACCTGGGTGATCTGCTGCGGCGGGCTGTGGAGGCAGTGGGTGGCCCTGTGGGTGACGGGGTGGGGCGGGGCAGTTTTTGGGCACTCGATCTCTAAAAGGTTCACCATCACTGCCATATAGCATATATTTATGTACTATAAAAGGATTTGTAGCAGTATTAATTCATACTCCCCATGAAATGACATATTGCATTTTGCAAGCCACATAAGAAAATTTCATTTGATTACTATTGCTATCTATCTTCCTGTCCTAAACTAATCATGAGACACAGAAAGAGATTTACCTGAAAAGGGACATCAGCCATAGTTTTAGCCAAGTAATAAGCCTTCAAACTGTACCAATAATTCAGATGTTCTCTAAGAAATACTCCCATCTCAAGAGGAACTATATAGAAAAATAAAAATAGCACTTGAATACATAAAATCCAAAGCAATTCTAGTAATTAATGCCATGTTGAAAAGAGGAGTTAAACAGGGCTGTTTACTTGCTCCCTTATTTAGTTTCTATATTAATGATATTACAATGGTCATGAAGTTACAACATATTTTCTCCCTTTTATTTAATGGATAGAAAACGCCAGTATTAATGTATGCTGATGACATGGCTCTTATCTCCTGTATTGAAATTGGCTTTAGCAAATTACTGACCAGACTTGTTGTCTGTCCTAGCATGGGAAAAAGGAAGAAAATAGAAGATAAATTATAATAAAACGAGGACAGTTGTTTTTGGCAAAAGTAATAATAAATACAGATGGATAATTGATGCTAGACATGAACCAGCAACCTTAAGAGTTTCACAACCCACTTGACTACTGGAAGATTATGTTCTTTTAAATAATAAGTTTTTAATAATCTTTTATACATGATTGCACATTGTTTATTGATCAAAGGGATTGTTTGATAAGCAATCCCTTTGGAGCAATCCCAGCCTCCACTTTGGAGCAGCTGTTGGCATTTTAAAACCCTAAAGTGAAAAGACAATTTCCCTCTTAGTTGCACAGATTTAGCAATGAAAGACAAGGATTAGCTTGGAAGACTAGATCTCTCTTTTGCCTGCTGAATTCACTTACCTTATAGCAGTGATAGCGAACCTTTTAGAGATGAAGTGCCCAAACTGCAACCCAAAACCCACTTATGTAAAGTTGGGTGCCGGGTGGCCGTGGCCCATTGGGTGGGCATGGCTGCGGTGGTAATGGTAGACTGGGACTGAAAACTTCAATCAATCAATTCCAACTCTGCGAGATTTTTTTTTCCCACGAGAAGTTGAAATTGATTGATTGATTGATTGAACTTTTTTTTTTTTTTTTTGCACACAGCAGCCTAAAGTGAAAAGGTTTTATAAAACCCAGCTGAAGGCCTAGGACTGGGGTGACGGTGCGGGTGCCCACTGAAAGGGCTCTGCGTGCCACCAATGGCACATGTACCATAGGTTTGCCACCACGGCCTTATAGTAAGCAAAAAGGATTAGGATGAAAGGCTGCTAAAACCAGCCTAGCTGATTAACCAGAGGGAAGGGGAATAAATGGTCAGAGAGGAGGAAGAGTTTTAGCTGGTAAACAAGCTTGCTTTCACTGTTCTCATGTTTGTTGGTGAAAGGATGCTAGCCAAAGCGGTAGATTTTAGAATATTTCTCCTGAATCTTGATTGGGAAACAGATTTGCTGCTGATTATAAAGATAGTCTTTTAAAACACTCTAATCTGCCCCCACCCAAGTTCTTCTGTTGGTTTTTTAAAATTGTTTTGTAGATAGAGCTATCTTTCATTAATTAAGCTAAGTGAGAGTAGCTGGGTTGTATGAAAATGGGGAGTTACCTGACAATATCCCCCAGTGGAAAAACAAGGAAACACATATGGAAAATAGGAAGGAGCGCTTGAATGAGCAACTGGTAATCCTAGGTTCAGAAAGATTTAAAGAAATGCATGTTTCAGGTACCCATCACTCTCCCGAACTTACACCACATTGCAAACACTGCAAATGCTCACCCTCATTGCTGAAAACCTGTAAAACTCAGCTCTGGGACTGCAATTTATACATATTCTTTCCTGCCAACTTATAGATGGGAGGAAAGTGGATGTGTGGATGAACAATATGTCTTTTCTTGGGATCACCTGCTACCTATGCATTGGCTTAGGCAAATGCAGACAGAAAGCTGACTGGGGGACATTGGGCCAGTCATTTTCAGACTAACTCACCTCACTGGGTAATTGTTTTGGGGAAAATAGATGGCAGGAGTATTAGGCATCTTCACTGCCTTGAAACACATATAAGAAGGCAGAAAATGATGGTAACGGTGATGATTATGTATGCACCGCTGTAAGCTCTGTACCCTCTTTTTTCTATGAACTCAAAGTGCTGCTCAGCTCTTGTGTGTGTGTGTGCATGCACATGTATGCCTAAAACAACTACATGGAATTTTGTTAGTATTACTGAAACTATTTAATAAGTGGCTTATCAAACTATTAGCATATTGCCAAGCTTCCACCACTGGTGCCATATGAACATTTAGAGCAGTGTTTCTCAGCCTTGACAATTTTAAGGCATGTGGACTTCAATTCCCAGAATTCCACAGCCAGCATTGCTGGCTGTGAAATTCTGGGAGTTGAAGTCCACATGCCTTAAAATTGTCAGGGTTGAGAAACACTGATTTAGAGCATCTGTTCTGATTCCCTGCCAATGTAACCAAAGACTAGGAATTTGGGGGATTGAAGTTCAGGGCATTTGGGGAGCTGCTGGCTAAAGAAGCCTAGTCAGCTATATGACACTGGTTACTCACATGTAAGGACCGTTGGCATGAGCGCAGCAAACATAAGAAACAACATGGAAAAAAAGAGGAAGCCAGAATTGCTCAGGACTTTCTTTGCTTCATTTCCAATCCCCAAATATAGCAAGCCTATCAGAAGTCCAATTCCAATGTGGGATGTTACCCGCAGATGTGTTAGGACCTGTTAAGAGGGAAAATTATCTTTGAGCTAAGAATATTTTTGAGTTAGCAAATCCTATAGCATGCTAATGTCTATACAGTATGCACACGTACTGAATGACAGACAAGATGTTGTTCTCTGTATAGTGTAGAAGCGAGAATGCAAATAATTTTCTAAAACAATGTGATTTTTGTACTAAGAGGCTTCTTATATGTGATGCTTCCAGTTAATGTTTTCAGTTAGTGAAAAATTAAAGTATCTTCCTAAATTTTCCAGTGTGAAAAAGAAGGAATAGATTTGCAATAACCAGCAGATGTGAGACAAAAGTGAGGGACTGGTGGGAAGATTTTAAAAAAAGAAGAAAATATACTTGGGAAGAAAATACAGGGCTGGACAAAGATTTTGCTACAATTCACTTTATAATTTTAATTCCATACATTTCCCAGTATTTTGTATTCATTCATTAAGGTCAATAGGGATGCACCAGAAGGGGGCAAAACTGAAGTCCTCTTAAGAGCATGGATGAAGTTACAGAGGTCGTAGCTCAAAAGAGATGGGGGAAAAAACAGAGGCTTAAATACTAATAATGTTCTTAGTATTATTTAAAGCACATTACACATCCATATAAAGCTTAATACCCATAGCTCCATTTACATCTCCTGACTTTTGAGATGCAGTAATTAAATTATGCAACACTAAAAGAATAAGACCTATCTTTTTATTTTATTTTATGCACTTAATAGCAGTAATATGGCTTCATAGGTCAAAACTGATAATTTACAATGCACTTTTCTTTCTTATACTTAAAATCTGAGCCTTACCGAATCCCTCATTATGGTGAGAAAAGTTCTTTTAAATAGTATGCAAAACTGAGTAAGACAGCTGGCTGAGAAGCTATGACAGCCTTCCATGGATGAGGAATCCTGGTGCAAAACACAAGTGGAAAAGAAATCTTTGGTTTGTATTGTTTCTTGGGTTTCAACAGCAATATCAATGAACATAACTTTGATTCTACAAATTTGCTGTCTAACATTTAAGTAAGCTTTATATTGAATCCAAACTTGGTTTGTCGCAGTTGGTTCCTATTGAAGGACAAAATAAAAAAAAAATACACTTGCTGGGTTATTTCTGGGACAGTTGAAATCATCCACTGATTTTTAAGATATTCTAGCAGACAATGTTGTGAAATAACAAAATGTATGGGCAAAAATGCCAAGATGAGCCAGGAAAATAACCAAGCGCAGCCTTATCAGAGAAACATCCACAATGCTGGCACAAAATCAGGTCACACTGGGCTAGACCTACATTTGTATCAGCTGACTTCTCAGAAGGCAGAACACTAATGTAAACCATTTCCAACATACTGAATCTAACAGAAGCTCCTCCACTTCTGGGCTGCAGCAGTGATGTTTGACCTGGATTCAGCACACAGTCAAATAATTTAGATCAGTGAAGCACTGATTAGAATCCATTGCTTAATATCAGGCTTGATTTTAATAGAACTTAAATTGAAATAATGTATGACAGGTTGGCTCAAATTTACAATTTTTAGAAAAAGAGTTGTTGATTCAGATTTAAGACCTAGCCAACTAATCTTTAACTTTCTAAACAGAACTCAACCACTTGGATTTAAAACAATTCTTTTTTGAGATATAGCTCCTTCTCAACAACATTAAACAACATTAAAGTTGTTACCACTAACAACTAGTGATATATTTATCCATGCATGAGAAGTTCTTTCTTAGTCTGTCACAGACTTGATTTCTCTTCTGTTCCAGGTAAGAAAGATGTTTCAGTGAAACACTGTAAATACTTCGAATAAAATACTTCACATGATATCAAGATTCAGCATATTAGAATTTTACACTTAAAAATAATTTAGATGTTTACATCAACTACAATCTTAATCTGTCATTTCCTTTGTGTTTCACCAGACTTGAATGGACAGAAAAAAAACTGAAATTAAATTCAGTGTTACCAATTACAGGGATTGAATTTCAGACATAAACCTATTCTGGATGGACTGGAATTCCCACTTTAAGAATAGGTTGGCAGTCTATGGGTGCTTCTGGATCTAGCTTTCATGCTGAACAGCCACATGACATCTTTAGCATGGGGGTCTTTTTACTATATTGACTGTTAAATCAATTTTGCTTCTATCTGGAGAAGAAAGGCCTCAAATTAGTAACACATATCCCAGTAGTCACAGAATTAGATTATTACAAATCATACATTGTGAGATCATCCTTGAAGATAGTCTTAAATTGAAGATGGGCCAGACTTTGGCACTAAAATTTGGGGAATTTATTTCTACAAAGAAAAAGTCACGCTGGTTGCTGGTTGTTTTCTGGGCCCAGTTCAAGTATTCATGTTGGTATATAAACCTTTTGGGACAAAATTACCTGAGAAGTACTCCTGTACCTGTATGATGGGGGGGGGGTTAATTGTAGAAATAACTGCTGAGTTAGGCTCACTTTTTATTACAATTTAGAAATAATTCAATAGTAATAATATTCAATAAGTGGATAAAAATACCAAATCCAGTCTAAATATATGTCTTGCTATGTGATGAACCATAATAATAATAAATTTATTAGGCTTATATGTCACCCAACTCCCAGCCGAAGGAAGGGCTTAAAACTAAAGAACTCAAAGAGCTACAGTGCCTGACTTGATCTCCTTTACTTTGAATTACCTCCTCTGATGGTTTGTGCCATAAAAAGGGGTTAAGTTCATTTTCTCCTCCAGAATTTCTCTTGTAATCTGCATCGCACATTCCTTCTTGCACAGCTCTTACAAGCCTGCTATTCTGATCTCCATATTCACCAGAGGCAACCTCCATTACTAAACAGATAGAAAAAACTATTTAATCCTACTATATAGAAGAATGAAAGCCAGATACTTTATTAGAATAATACTTTATTAAAAGCATTATTCCTAGTTGTCAGGTATGCATAAAATTGTGGAGTTTGCCATCAACCATCAAGACAAAGTGCAGAAGCATCTACAGAACTTGCCATTTTCATCAGCATGCTAACGCATTGCAAAGTTCTGCCACTAACCTCAGCTATTTGGGCCATACATGTGGCAGATTGCATTGTGATCCTGTGACATGGGTGACATAGGAAAAGGAACAGGGCTTGCATCATAATGCCCTGACTGACTCCCCTATATCAAAAAGGCTATTGCCACTCGAAAGCATTTGGCATGCATTTGAAAACAATACTGTAACCACAAATTTTTATGACATAAAGTTTATAATTTTAATTAAGGCTAATATCCTTTGCAATTTTAAAGATAGGAAACTGAGTTCCAGCTTATGTGATAAAACTATACTGTCTATTATTTCAACATCTAAGACAGCCACTTAAGCACAAACAATATCTTGGAATTAGAAGCAATAATTTGGATACATGGCAGCCATTAAAAATTAAGAAAAAAACAGTAATTATAAAAGATCTGAGAATCACATCAGGAATTAAAAAAATATTTTCTGCGTGGCTATAAATATAGAAATATGTCATAAACATATGTCTAGGGGTCACAAACTGACCTTGAATGAATGTAGATAGTTCAGATGATATAATTAACATGAAAGTTTAGAGGTAGAGGTACCAATTTATAGGCATATTATTGGGCAGTTTGTGAAAAACAGGTAACTATGGAGAGGAAACAAAGTTTAAAAACTTCAGAATTTCTGAAATTGTTTAAAATGATTTAAAAGATTATGGCTGATCAATTAACCAATTTAAATGTGAACTTTATTTCAATATCCATGCAGATAGCTTTAATAATCAATGTTACTACAAATTCTTTTTTTAAAAAAACACACTTCAGTATACTATTCTTTACTCCAGGTAAGAAGAATACCTCTAAAGGAAAATATTTCAAAAAAATGTCATGAATATTTCACCTTCCTAATTAAATTCTATTTTCAGTATGTAAAGTATACCATTAATTAATGTAAATTGATTATGACTGCCATATCCTCTTGAATTTATGTTTATTTCCAATAGGAATATAAAATTATCCCCCAACTAAGGCATGTCTTGAGCTTCTGCATTTTTAATTATAAAAGAGAAAGGGAAAAAATCAGCAAATTCAGCTCTGTTGTATTTTACGTGCTCTTAGTTTTATTTCAAAGAGGTTTTTTTTTAATGAACTAGGTCTGGCAATTCTATCTACCACTAGGGGGTATAAGATATCAAGAAATAGATACCATATAATTACCATGCATAGGTATATACACACACAAACACAGACAAACAGCACACACAGAAATTCAGTATCATTCCCAAAAACTTGTGAAAGAAAGTGAAAACCTCTATCATTTTGCTCACCAAAATCTGCTGGATTGTGATATGTTGGACAATTTAAACCCAAATCTCTCAAATAAGGGACCAAGTTTAATACTTCCCCACGGTAAATGCATTGCCCTTGGCTCAAGACATAGAGCTGAAATAAAGAAAAACAAGAAATTATAAAGAATCTTCCTGTCTAGCTTCAGAATTATGGTGTGCAATCTTATTAAAAAAATATTATCTGAGTGAAAGGAGAAACACTGACATAGTTAAATCTATGTAATAGGATTTTACAGTATATAATATGTGTTTCCAGGTTTAACTACTGGAAGATATTTCTTGCATTTTAATTTACTGAACTCTCTCCTCATATACATAAAAAGCATCTATTTTTCTACTGCCTAGTCTTATTGTACAACATTTTCATATCAACATTTTACTCAGGTGTAGCTTTAAATTAGCCCTAAATTTTAATTAACAAAATTATTTGTTACGTATGTTAGCATGCATGCACACTAGGGCTAATTCAGATCTAAACCCATTTCTCTCATCACAAATTTCCTACATACACAATCTCAATGTCTTCAATTTCTCAACGATTTCCTAATTCTATTATATTCAATTTTAATGGCTGACAAATTTCAATATGTTAAATACTTTTATCTAATTACACATGGATTACTAATTTTATTTTGATATAAATTGTTAAACCATACAAATTATTGGCAATCTACCCAAAGAGTTACTTCACCTCACAAATACTGTATGTTTTGCCCTATCTTCACAGAATTACATTCAGCCACCTTCATGAAGAGTTATGATAAGGCTGATCTGTCTCAATGAACAGACTTAATGAACAGCAGCTATTGGCATCAAGCAAAGCAGTCATTCTGCTTGTTTGAAGAAAAACAGGGCACCACTTCACAGAGGCAGATTGAAGAGACATTTCCTTAGACATCCAGCAAAATAAAGGATGTCTTAAGTACATTTGCATAAACCTACTACATATCGTATGTGGAATATAATAAAGTCCGAAGTCTGAGAAAGGTTGAGTGAAAGTTAAAAAGCTGTGTGAGTGGAAATGTGTGTGAACTCAGCAACATCTCATGTTTTATTCCTGTGCTAAACACTAGGACTGGTAGATCTTCAAGAGAGCACTTCTCTTTCTCGATATTTAACCAAAGCACCCCTTTCAAACCTCCTCTCCCTTGTGAAATAAAACATCCGCACTTATGTTCATCGAAGATGGCTACTTTCACTCAGCTGCTATGATTCTGAGATCTGATGAGCAAGGCATATTGGCCCTGCCTAGATTTTTGCAAAGGCAGAATATTACCACATCAAAGTGCTGCAGTGGAATTCTGCAGGGAACATTACCTTATTAAAGCAAATTACTTTAATATTTAGGAATGATTTGTCTACTCCTAAGAAATGCATTTTCTAAAATGTAAGCAGTTTGAAGGAACAGCTGGCAGGAGATAACTTCCTTTTAACACTCTGTTCTAACTGATTCCCAAAGTAATTCAGCTGCACTGACTCATCCTTTTCTTCAGGTGATGTATTACCTATGGGAGGGTGCCACTAATACACAGGTTTTCTCTGTGAATGATTGTTAATATGACGCTAACAAAGAATCTTTTCATGATGAAGAAAGGCCTTTTCAAGACCAGGATCCAAATGGCTCTGACACCGTGTGCACATATGCATGTCTTCCAGCCCTGTGATTCTACCTGATCAAAGAGTTCAAAGAGTTTGGCACTGGGCTGATGGATAGTGCAGATGATGGACCGGCCACCCTGGGCTAAAGCCTTCATCAGAGAGACAACTTGAAAGCAAGATGAACTGTCCAGGCCACTATGAAAAAGATAAAGAAAACACAATTTGTCCACTTTGTTTTTTTTAATATCCAAAATTGAACTTGGAATGAAGAGTTTGAATGAAAGTTGAGCAAGAGACTCCCGTGGGTAATCTTTACTTATTTCCACACACACACACATATTTTAGCCTGTCATTTATAAAGTTGCTAACACCATATTCTGTGCATCAAAATGTACCCTTGACAACCAGGGATGTTCATGTGTACACTTCTTATATATTATTCACACATAATAACATATGTGGTACATTTTCATATAACTCAGTACAGTACCTTCCATGCTCAAGTGCCATGAACCCAGAGTAAATTAATCTCTCTCATTTTGGGGCTTTTGAAAGGGCTGGCCTATATTCAGTTAATTAAAGTGATTTGATAGGAGAGTACTTTTGTCAAAAAGCTCAAGATACTGAATACAAGTGAGATACTGGAAAAACAGAAAACTCACGTGATTCATTTCGTAAAGCAAAAATTCTTTTTGGGCTGGTGATTTGCCAATCCACAATGGTGGTTACAGGTGATATAAACAATTGCAAAGCATGTAATTATTACAGTGCTACCAGCAACCTCTAGATCACACTATACTAGACGCTACCCACTATCTTTGCTTATGCTTGTCCTTTCTTTAGAGGGAAAACAAAACTTGGATTGTAGCTATCCAACATTTTTATTTTTCCTTTTTTTCACATTTATTGGGAGCCCTGAGAGCTTCTTGAAAATGTAGGAAGCTGCCCCTTTGCTTTACCGTATGTTGTACTCTGATTTTTTTCTATTTAAAAATAGGGAGTTTGGCCTTTGACAAGAATATGTCACTGAACCTCCTGGTATTCTCAATACCAAATAATTTGTTGTTGTTGCTGCTGCTGCTGCTGCTGTTATTAGAGTTATAAAAAAAAATCTTGAGACCAACTCATGAAGTCATGGTGATCAACGGATATAGACCTATGCTATATATTTTGTTTTTCTTATGGAACTCAAAGTAGTACACGTAGCAGTAGCAACTCTGGTTAAATGCAGGATTTCACAACCCACATACACTACACTTAATGAAGAGATAAATGATGTATTAACACAGGAATTCATACTGACACTTTATTTACCTGAAAGAAAGGCAAGATTTCTTTTCAAATAATCACTATAAGTGGATAGAGATGCAAACAATTGCAGAGTGAAATATATGGATGCCTCTAAAAATTAGCCTTTCTGTTGCTTGGGAGGACCAGCTACCCTGTAAATCTAACCTTTCAAAAATGAAATCTAGTTTCTTTTTTTTCTTTAACCATCCAGCTACCTCTTCTCCTTACTTTCTCACTCTTTCTCCTTTTTTCCCTTCCTTTTCTGCTGCAGCTACTCTTTGTCCCATCTCCATCCTGTTTTCCCACTTTGTTTTTGACACCTATGAGGAAGTGTCTATTCCTGTGTATAAGAGTTTTATTTAAATTTGATAGAATGAATGCTAACATATGAAGATGGAGATTCGTGGATTTTATAACTCAAGTACCTTGTTTTACAGATAATTGAATGACTAATGATTAATTAAATTTATAGAGTTTTTTTATCTTAAGTATGTCAATTTGGAGTTTGTTTTTAGCATCAAAGTATTTTTTTATTTGATTCTGGTTTACATGCACACACTTATTGGAGTTATTTAGGCAAGTTTCCAGCATTGGTTTCATCTGAACTGGCAATCCTAGATTGACAAGTTGAGGAAGCTGAACATTACACTAAATTTTTATCTGTGTTTTAATATATTTTTCTTATCCTCCCTTTGGAGGGAAAGAACATCTTAAATTCAGGATTATATTCAAATTGATGTAATACATAAATGCACAAGTTGAATTTCCTCAGTCAAAGGTCTCTGTTTTCTTTAAAAAGATCTGATTAACATTTTAAATTAAAACATCAAGAGGATACTTTTCACTTTTTAATATTTTGGTTACTAAAAATAATATATGTTTTGAAGCATATTTGTAATTATTGTCAGCCTTTACTCCAGAAACACAAATTACCTGGTAGGTTCATCAAAAAACATAACCGGTGGGTTGTTCACCAGTTCCAAAGCAATTGCAAGACGTTTTCTCTGCCCTCCTGAGAGGCTTCCAGTACGAGTACTGGCACACGATAGCAAACCCAAAGCTGTCAGGATCTCATTCACCTGTGAAGAGGAACAACATCAGGGAAGCTTTGGTAATATTTTCTGTAATTGTATTCATATCACAACAGTGATTTCTGAAACATAACTGGGTTCTTGAGATTTGCTAAAAAGAATAGGGAAGTGTATAGGTAAATATTTTTAAATTTTTATTAATGTGCCAGTTCTGAGATATTAGGAAGCATATTGTTTAATATTTATTTTAATATAGTTCAACTCTTTGGAGTTTGCTATTTCTAGTTATTGTTAAGGTTGTAAGGAAACAAGACTAAATAGTCATTTTGGATGAAAACTATGATCCTATTCTACTATTATTCTACTATTATCCATGTATTGTACACCCTGCTAGGGATCCAGTTTATAAGTTATATGCAAACTGGATATTCTTTGCATTCAACATTTCATAAATCTGGTGAAAAAGAGAGAAAACATTCTATAAAATCTTCTAAAATACTTTTAGATATAAAAAGTATACTGTGTTTTCTTCTAAAAGAAAGTAAATACCACATTTTAAAATCAGAATTAAGTAATACACATACCATTTCTCTCCTGCCTTCATCTTTTTCTTGAAGTTTCAAGTGGGCAGATACCTGAAATAGTAGAATATTATACTTATTCATTCAATATATTTGGGGGAGAGGGGGTTACTCATGCAAAGCATTTATCTGGTTCCTATAATACAGTATAGGTCTTTTGCAACTAATGTGGTTGCTTATTTAAAATACATAGTTATTATTGTATAGAAGTCAGGAAACAAATCCTTAAGAGATTAAATATTATCAATAGTTTCAATTAGGATAAATATTTGTTAGAATAATGTGAGAAGCTTGCAGGTATTCATGAAGAAAAAAAAGACACCTTTGACTGAACCATTTCTTCAAGAAACTACTTAAAAACATTTTACCTGAAAATTATACTTTTATTGTAATAATTCTGCTTAGAAAAATAATATTTTCCAAAGCTGTGAATGCATTTAGGTATACTACCCCCCAAAATATTTGATTGTATTCTGTTGCAGTTCAAGAGAGCCAGCCACATAGTTCAAGACTTGCAAGTTTTGATATATTTTTGAGGTTGAGATATGCATATTTTTGTAAGATTTGTCTGTTCAATTCAGCATCTGTAACACAATGCTCAAAAGACCAGATTTTAATTTAAAATTGAATGTTTGCTTAGAAAGAACATATTTTTTTTATTCATTAAAAAGATATATTTATCATAGAATTGGTGATATAGTAATACATTTTTGGGTATCACAATATACATTTGCAGCTATTAATCTTCTGTTCTGATTTTTGGCTCCTGTCCAAACGTATTGGTACCAGTTAATAGTTAGGGCTGTGCAAAATTGAATTGTTTTGCTTCACAGAGATTCAGTTCTGATCACTGGAGGAATTCACTTTAAAATGTTGTCCAGATTCAGAAAAGCAAGATACTCCAATTGGAAGCATTGAGGTGAGTCATTTCATTTCACTTGGCTGTTTTGCTTTGGTGGCAATATCTTCTTTTTTAAAAAAAAGGTTTTTTATTTTTAATACAGTTAAAACAAAGATGGACATAACGTAACATTCCAGAGTAAATATTTCTAACAATTTGTTCCTCTTCATACATATAATTCTTAATCTCTCTATATACATATTTTTCTATATAATACAGTCTCTAATTTGTTTCTGTATATACTAACATACAATTATATATATTTCTATCTTAACACTAACTTAAACCCCGAACAGTTCTCCTTGATTCACACCAGTAATAGAATTTGTCCCAGATTTCAAAGTAATCTGACTCTGTCTTGTCCTTCATTTCCATTGTGAGCCTATCCATATCAGCACACGATAAAATTTTTATATAAAATCTCTTCTTCTGTTGGAATTTCTTAGAAAGGACATACTTGATCAACAATATAGAGTATTGAAATAATTTTGATTATTTCTGAGACTCCCAACATGATGGTGACAAAGAATTGGAAATACACATCTGAATAGAATATTATTAAAATGGGCTGGCTGAAAAATCCAAGATCATTTCTTTTTTCCCAGCTTTTATTAAATTGATTGACAAGCAATATCTATTTTGCAATTCCTGTAAAATTGAAACACAACAATTTACTGAACAGATTGGCTGGAACATCCCAGGGGTGCTGATGCTAACACTCTATGAACAACAGCCTTGGCTTTGATTTATTCCACAACTGAATATTGTGCCAGGGTATGGCTTAACAGTGTCCAGTGGTCAATGTCCAATTCCACCAGACAATGTGTATCATCTCGGGCACATTGCATCCCACTCCTGTGCACTGGTTACTAGTACTTAGCAATATCATGCCATCCCACATTAGAAGACAACACGCTCTCATTCGGCTATGGTCAAGGATGTTGTGATTGTGGTGCTGATATGCAAACTATTAAACATATTGTGCAGGTTTTGCACGATATGTTTATATTGTTTGCACAATATATTGTTTGCACTAACTGCTGGCAGTCAGCAGAATTAGCCTGCAATACTCTATTCTAACCACCATAGATGCATCAGATACAATGATGGCAGAATGTTTGAAACACAATCGCTATTTAATAGCCATATGCAATGAAAGCAACACCCTTTCTCTTGTCTTTAAAATATAAACATGATGCATAAACTGATCTTTAGTGCTGTAACTATGGGAGGAATAACACGTTAGAATACAGTGAAATAGAGTAATACAAATAGTGGTAATTTGTCTAGACCATACCAATTTGGAGCACCATATAAAAGCTTTAAAATATGTAAGTAATTAGCAGTATTCCAGCTGCTTCTGTATTTAATCTATGTGAATGTGCAGATTTTGTGATTTATAATATAGCTTCATAAATATAGTTTTTTTAAAAAATCACCAATTTCTACCTCACACATTCCTTTCTTCCAGCAAAGCTTCCCTTTCTTTCTTTCTTTCTTTCTTTCTTTCTTTCTTTCTTTCTTTCCTTTTCTTTTCTTTTCTTTCTGGGAAATTTACCCAATTGCTGGACAAAGGATACAATCTGTCCATTAGTTCTTCAGCAAAGCAGATTTAATAGAAGAGTTTTCCTCTCTGTGAATTGGGACAGGAATTATGTTGTCCATAATTCCTCTTAATCTTCTTCATGAATGCACCTTATTTCTTTTCATGTTCTTTCATGCACAATAATCACTGCGTAACCCAGGAAGAAGCTAATTCAGAAAAAAACAACTCTATGTTATATAGATGTGATTGCTATTATTAATAACCATACCATCATAGCTTCCTGGACAGTAAGATGTGGAAGCAGCATGTCATCTTGCATGATGTAACAAGACACTTTGCGGAAAGAACGCAAATCACGATGTTGCCCATTTATGAGAATTTCTCCTTTCATCCCAGTCTCTCTGAAAGCAAGAGAAGAAACAGCCTATTTTTTTTCCATGCTTCCAGAGCAGATTAAACAGGCAAGCCTATACATTCAGGTTTTTCACAGTACAGGAGTCAGTTCTTTTCTAGTATATGCAAGTAAGCATGAAGTGTGAAATAATTATTATCAGAGTCTGATACACAAACAGTTTAAGGGTTATTATAGAAAAACCTTTCATTCACAAATTGTTATTTATTTATCAAGTTTCTGTATGTGCAACTATCATAGGGAAACTACTGTAACTCTCCTAATAGCACACAGTGTTGGATTTACATCTCTGAAGTTCCTGAAAGACTAATACATTTAGGCTGAAAATATCTTCATAATGAAAAGATAAGTGCATTAAGTCAGAGTTCCCCAACCTTTCTGGCTTTGCAGACTGGCGGGCGGGGGGGAGAGGGGATGGTTCTGCCCGAGCGGCCTGCAAACACAGCTCCATTTGTGCAAGAGGCACGCATGTGTGCCCGCTGCTCACAGTAAATGGAGTGCATATGCACACACTTGTCCGCTGCTTGTACAAGTGGGGATGCACACATGCACATTCACCCGTTTCCACATGCCAGTTGCAAACAGTTCACGGCTCACTAGTGGCCCATGGCCCAGAGGTTGAGGACCCCTGCATTAAGCTACATGGCCAAGAATGGATACTAATTTTTTCTTATAATTGCTAGAATGGCAGTACATGTTGAAAAGGCTGTCCCACATACCAGAGATGTGGACAAGATGCCAAACCAAGTGCCCTTGGAAAATAGATGATAGCAGAAGAAATGACCAAACTGCTTATTTAAAGCAGGAGGTGGAGCCAAAATGTAAAGATGCAGGCGGCTTCTGGGACGAAGGGCATGAGACCGCCAATCTTTCATCCTGATTTTTACAGAAACCATTGTTAATATTTAAAGTTGACCAAGAGATGCAGCCTATTACATAAACATATATTACATACATACCTACATACATATACACATACACATACACATACACACACACACAATTGCTGCTCGAAGCACGAAGCTGAAAACACCAGCCTGAAGATGACGAATGGGACTTCGTCGAAACGTCGCCAAGACACTTCCAATTTTACGCGGGAGAAAACCCGAATAACCAAAGACATATATGTATGTGTGTGTGTGTGTATATATATATATATATATATATATATATATATATATATATATATATGACATGTATGTATGTGTGTGTGTGTGTGTGTGTGTGTGTGTGTGTGTGTGTGTGTAGTCTCGTACAGTGCATCTTTAGATATTGCTCATAAAAAAAAGGTGTGCAGGTGTTTTCCTTACTCTTACTGACCTGTATCCTGCCAGGAGATTCATAAGGGTCGACTTCCCAGCTCCAGAAGGACCCATAATTGCCACCAGTTCACCACTACTAAACTTTCCAGAAATTCCTTTCAGCAAAGTCTTGAAACCTATAAAAAGGGAAAGGAGAGAGAGAGATAAAATTTAGAAAACATGTTTTTCTGAAATAGGTAGAACCTTGTGACAGCCATTGGCCAGCTTAAAAACCAAACAAACAATCAAACAAACAAATAAAAAAACAGAGTAAGAAAGCAAATAAAATACCACAGTGAAACCCACTAATTACAACACTGGTGTGGTCAAAACTTAGTTACTTTAATAAAAATAAAATCTTAGCCATGTTAAGATAAATAAAATGACATTGATCAGACAGTAGCAACTGTAAATAATATTGGCTATCATTTTTCTTGGCTGATATAGATATAGAGACACATATATTTTTATCGTGCTTATGCTTGGTTTTAATTTGGTTTTTTGATTATTTGCCACCCAGAACCACTTATCTGAGAGAGGGGCTGTAGAATTTGAATGAATGAATGAATGAATCTGATCCAGATATCCTGGAAATCTGACTACCTGTCTGTCATTAACTGCAACCGGGCATCTTTGTAGTGGTTTTGGAAACTCGTTTACCACCATGACAAAGGTCTGTGTCCATGTTTTTTTTTCTAATATTTTAAGTTTCTCAGAGAGATCTAGTGCCTGCTTTCCTTATTTCTTTCAGCAATCAAAATAGTTTGGGAGGTACAAAACACATGCATATAAATATTCCTACTACCACAAAGATATTAACTTCAACACCAGCAAATTTACTGTACTTGGATGATGATTATTTAGAAGTTTCCTTGAAAGTTCAGCAAAAGCTGCATTTTAATTTGGTGAATAGATTCATGTAATGAATGCAATAAGTTATCTAGATCTTGAAAAGGCATAAAGGCAGTTATATTTAATATTGTGTATGGGTGCATATAAAGTAATATTTCTTTGTAGTAGCCATTGTAATTCATTCAGGACATCTAGGTGTTCCATTTTATACACATCTACTGTTTTGTTACAACCCATAACTCAAAACTTATATTTTGGTTTTATTTTTATGGATCTCTTACAATTCAGGCTAATTGCACAGGCATCCAAGCAGTGAGGGAAACAAACCCTGTGACTGACGTACTTACATCTGATATCAGGGCACAAATAAAGGCCAAATTTGTATTGTGACATCTCTATGTCCAAGCTGTCATTAGTAAGGACTAGAACGCTTATTCAAAAGATCAATCCTTCTCTGTCTTAATAGCATACTGAAATGACCCATGTGAGTTTAAAATTTATAAAGTGCTGTTTTTCCAAAATAGAAACAGACAAATTGCTACTTTGGAATTTCAGCTTATAGATCAATTTTTGGTGAATTCTTTTTAAAACTGAATTCTCTATTGTAGCAAAATCTATACTTCAAATATAAAAGCAGAAACAAAGAATGACTTCAAGATACCTCCCAAACCCCCAATACAGGTAGTCCTCAACTTACGACAGTTAGTTTGGTGACTGATCAAAGTTACAACGGCACTGAAAAAAGTAACTTATGACTGTTTTTCACACTGACAATTGTTGCAGCATCCCCACGATCATATGATTTACATTTGGATGCTTGACAACTGACTCACATGTATGACAGTTGCAGTGTCCCAGGGTCATGCGGTCACTTTTTGACAAGTAATGTCAATGAGAAGCCAGATTCACTTAACAACCTTGTTACTAATTTAACAACTGCAGTGATTCACTTAACAACTGTGGCAAAAAAGTCATAAAATGGGGCAAAGTTCACTTAAATGACTTGCTTAACAACCGAAATTTTGGGCTCAATTGTGGTCATAAGTTGAGGACTACTTGTAAAAGGGAAAAAAAAACCCTCAACCCACTTTTGGCTTCACAACCTCATCCAAGGCAACTCTCAGCCATCCAAAGTCTGTTCACCTTTATTTTGCCCACCTTGTGAATAGGAGGATTATCTTTGAATCCATCCAAATTGCGTTTTAAAAAAACTGTTGTCAGTTCCACAAAATATCCCCAGTGTCTATTGATGATTTGAAGTATATATGTGTACTGGCAGAATGCAGGTATGAATTCTGAGTTAGAATGTTTGGACAAGATTTTATCACTGCAGTACGGATAGCCTGATCTCTTAAGGCTCCTTTTCTTAGCCAGTGACTGGACAAATCTTCAGCAAAATTTATTCTTTGGGTTTCCCTATCTTCATTATTCATTAGCACTATAATGGATAAACTGCAAACATTTTACAGCAATCTCAAGAGCTCTACTTAATGCCTTACTTATAGTCACTCATAAGGGATGCCTTAAAAAATTCCTAAAACAGAATGGATCTGTTCTAATTTAAGTGGAGATAAAAAGATGGATAAAACATGCCTTTTGTTTCTCTTTCTGTATCTCTATTTTCTCTTCTTTTATGACATGTGATACAAAGATTGGGAAAAAATGCTTTATCTGCCCATTGTTTTCCATGTGTTTACCCTTTTTCATGAAGACTGTCTAGTTTTTCAGTCACTTTTTAATTACAGTCAACAAGTACACTATTCTTTACATGGCTAAGTACCTGAAGGGGACAAGATATTCATTTCAGAATGAAAACAGTTCTCATAGTACTTGTTCAACCCAAGTTATGTTTGGATTGCTCTTCATCAAGGCTATGTTAAGCTTGTGGATACAGGCAATGTGGGATTCAAATATGTAAACAACCGGTTCTCTGTGGGGATGCCGCTTCTGGAAGCCCATTCTGGGCCTGGGCAACAAAAAATTAGCTACCATTTCTGCTGAACTAGTGCCTGGATACAGGCCAAGAGCCTTTTCCCAAAGAACTGGAGCAATTACAACCTCCAGGAAGTGCCTTGTGACTACTCCAAGGCTTTCCCAGGCTCTTGTACACACCTACATGCACCATGACTTGGTTTGGCCTCAGTAGAAGTTTTGGCTCTGCAAACACAGCCTGGGAAACCTCCGCACTTTGTTTACTTTTATGAAGAGATTCTTGGTGTACTTCCAAAATAACTTTCACAACTGTAACTGAAATGATTTTGGGAGCCCATATAGTATATGAACAAGAAGTCCCTACTTGTCCTTATAAATACATTATTTCATTTGGTGGGATTGCAGAACCGGTCTAATGGTATGAAGCATCTTACACAATGCTGCTATATTAAGCTACCAAATCATTCCATGTAATGTACCATATAAGTATATTTGCACTTCCATTTTAAAAGGAGAGGGTATAAAAAAATTATCAAATTGGATTTTTTAAATTAGTACTGCAGGCCAAAGAGATTTAAAACCCTATGACATAGGTTATTCCTCTGGAAATGGGTGAAAGGTCTTATGAAAGTCTACCGTGCAGTGGCAAGTTGATAGATAATACCAGCACTGCTCTTTGTGATCTGTTTTCAACTAATAAAATACTGAGACACAAATACAATAGCAGACTTATATACCACTTCATGGTGCTTTACAGCACTCTCTAAGCAGTTTACAGAGTTAGAGTATTGTCTCCAACAATCTGGGTCTTCATTTTATCAACCTCAGAAGGTTGGAAGTCTGAGTCAACCTTGATCTGGTCAGGATCAAACTCCTGGCAGTGAGCAGAGTTAGCCTACAATGCTGCATTCTAAGCACTGTGCCACCATGGCTCAGGTGCTGTCATCCTCTGTAGCGCTTATTAGTGAACATATATTTCAAATAACTGGACTCTTTGCTATAAGGAGCTGAATAGTCATTAGAATGTGTTGACCCATATATTTTATATTGGCATCACAAGTATATTTGGCAATATCTGATCCTTTCAGATCTTTATTGCTTGCCATGGATTTACCAAGAATCAAAGAGTTTAGAAATGGCTGAGGATTCCACTAAAGAACTGTTGTCTGAGAAAATAAGCTATATTAATACAGGACAAAACTCACATAAGGGCTATATGATACCTGAAAAAAATACCAAAGCCTTTTCTCTACCATCAGTACCATCAGTAACACCTTTACCTAATTTGCTGGCTGGGAATTCTGGTAACTGGACTCCAAACATACCTAGAAGGCATTAGATTAGAGTAAATTGCAATATCAATATCATTCTGTATAGTGAACAAATAAGAAAAAAATGTCATTTTTATTATTTACTTGCACAGCTGACAAAGACAAAAAAGCTACATATAACATATCTACCATTAATCAGTGTACAAAATACCAGATGCTTCCTGAATATTTCTTACGTGTGTGATTGTCTCTTGTGCTAAGTTGTCAACACAGGTAATAAGTGATATATCACCATGTCTCTGAGAAGAGAAAATATACAGCCATTTCAAAACAGAAGTTAAATTGCAGTCACTATAAATAAAATTGATGGCAAACCTTGTTAAGCGCCATCATTTTGCAACAAAGGTTTGTATTGTGTTCAGCCAGTTAGATATTCAGTGCTACATGTAAGTCATGGGTGCAGTTATACAAGACAAATTGGAAGACACAGCAACATCTTCAGCACCTGCTAAACTAAGAAATTGGTGGAAACTATATGGCTGAAGAAGGCAGATCCAGTATAGAAAGAAGGAAGGACTTCTTTCATAAGTCTTTTTGTTGTTGTTAATTGCGAAGTCGTGTCCGACCCATCGCGACCCCATGGACAATGTTCCTCCAGGTCTTCCTGTCCTCTACCATCTTCTGGAGTCCATTTAAGTTCACACCTACTACTTCAATGACTCCATCCAGCCATCTCATTCTCTGTCGTCCCATTCTTCTATTGCCCTCAATCTTTCCCAGCATTAGGCCCTTCTCCAGTGAGTCCTTCCTTCTCATTAGGATCTAATTAACCAGTTTCAACCTTTGTGAGCCAATTTACAATTTATTAGCTAAACTGACAACTAAAAAATTACTGTCATCCTCTGCAGCATTTATTCATGAACATATATTTCAAATTCTCATTTTTCATGTCGTCAAAATGGCAATTTTAAGCACACATACAGCAAAGGCTGTATGTGAATCAGACTTTGAAGACATGGACTCTAAAAATCAAAGAAAGTCTCCAGGGTGGAAAAAAACCTTCCACAAACACATCAAAATTA